AAAAAAGTAAGGTGGTAGAAGACTTGTCTCACACCGCTGGAGATATTGAAGGGAAGCGGCAGTATACCATGAGCCCTCACCCTGTCCGAACTATGCGCAGACAGCGTTTTGATAATGTTTACGTATTTCCCGTGCACTCCTTGTTTGCGTAGGCAGTCCAAAAACACACATCGATCCACAGAATCAAGGGCACCTTTGATATTGAGGTGGGTCGCCCATAAATATGGCGGCGTTTTAACGACTGACATTCTGTGAAGAGGTGGTATACACCGACGCCCTGACGAAAACCGGCTTACCCCTCACGAATCTGGTTTTCACGGGTGCTAGTCAGCCTAGGCAGGATAACAGAGGCAAGGCACTTAGAAGCAAGTGAGACAAGACTGGTCCCTCTATGACTGCCGAATTCCGAACGTGAGCCTCATCTGAAAATTGTAAATATAACAGAGCGGCCTTAGTCTGTTGGGACTGTCTTCCGTTCCCATAGCTTCTTTAGTCACTTGTGTAAATGGTCCACAATAGCTGGTCCTCCAAACTTGAAGGGGGTTGGAGAAAGCCTATCTACTCCTGTAGTGTTACTCAATTTCAATAGTCCGATGCTAAAATCAACTTTTGCGTGCAAAAGCAGAGCCAAATGGACGGCCCATGGAAAAGGACAACTACTGGCTGATAAGGTAGATGGTAACTCAGGTTGATTAAACAGCTTTTCAGTGTCCTGCCCAATGTTCCAAGCTTTCAACAAGCTGTGAATCGGCTGTCCACTCTGGACGTATATAGTCTCGCTAACACCAGGCCACCTGCTGCTCGTTTCTCGTAACAGGCGGAATAACTTAAGTTGTTTACCAACAGCAGCGGTTGTCTCTATTTCCGATGCATGATAAGATCACCAGGCTTAGCGGTTGCCCTTCAGGATAGCACACAGTTCCACCCACAGGTGCTAGTGGATTTCGTTGTGTTCACTCCAAGATGGAAGAAGTCGGCAGCAATTAGAAGTTCCATAGACTGCGTAAAGACCCAATGTTTTGGCTGGCAATTCGATTTGCCAAATGAAGACATGTCTGCTGCTAACAACGTCCGGTGGGTATGCGACAAGTGATCTTCAATTGTGTTCAGTGAGCGCTCAACCAACTGGCATGCCAACGCAGTTTGATATGCATTTAGAACATCTGGCTTCATCAGTTGGGATCGATGGGCTCACAGCGTCTTTGATGTCCGCCGAAACGCACTCGCAGATCCATACATACCAATGCGTGGTCAGAGTGCATTTTCGTGCTCCAAATCGTGGGACAAGTTTGAATACAGTCTCACCAAAGGCAAGGGATTGCGATGTGATAGAGACTGGTGGGCGCCACATCACCCCACTGCAGGTGTTGTGACGGTTATTGTTCACGACAAATGGACGAACTTCTTTACATAGGTGTAGCAATCGCTTGTCCCTACGGGACCCCACACCTTGTTGGACACCCAGATGCAGACCTGAGCTTCAAGATCACCAGTCAGCACTACAGTATCCATTGTTCATTTGTTCTCCGAGCCTGGCGGTTTTCTCGCAAACGTTTCACCACCATCCGAGGTGGCATCCTCAGTGCAGTTATATGTAGCTACATATCACTGCACTGAGGATGCCACCTCGGATGGTGGTGAAACGTTTGCGAGAAAACCGCCAAGCTCGGAGAACAAATGACCAATTGATTCATCAACCAGAGCTACCCGTATTTCGATACATTTTAAACTACAGTATCCGCATTTCTTCCGTCAAGATGAAAGGTTAAAGGTGATAGAAATCATTTTTCACTGAGTCAATGCTACAGTTTGTGGGGAGTGTAAGTAGCAGTAAAAAAGCATCGTTTGGACCCGCGCGACTTCAATTCTTTGAACCAGCCAGCCAGTCGGATGGCGCACATCCGGTCACCGATTACGTTCAACTCTAAGAGACCAGATTCAGCTCGGGAATTCAAAGTAATACCCATCTAAAGCTGCATTATCTTCAGCTCGACGCAAAGAGAAAGTTCCACCAGTGTCACACAAATTCGCTCTCAGAGTGTGCAGGGAACACGAATCCTGTCGGCAGGTTCCCGATAAAAGCAGATATTGATCGATATGGTCCCCAATCTCCGAGCAAGTGCTGCCTGTTAACCGACTCGTAGCGAACGTACAATTATATCTTCCCAACTACGCCGTCCCATACTCGTTTCCATTAGTCATGGTACAGTTTGTTTTAACTAATCATAAGCCGAACAACACTTCTTCGAACTTTTAGTTACCTTCTGGTTTCGGATACGAGTGTTGTGTTGTCGCTCTTCGACCTGCATGCCTCGGTCATCGATCAGCTAATGCGCCGAATTATCGCAGGGGCTAAAGTTTCGCCTTGCGTACGGGATTGTGCAACTTATCGAGGATCATACTTGACTAAAGGTCAGGTTGGGCCGCCCGAACATCGCTGAAAAGCAAGACGATATCGTCCACATATTCTAGGTCAACTAACCTTTCACCAGGCAGCACTTCAACGCCTACATTGTGAGATTCCGCAAGCGAACACTCCATGATAGAATCCACGACGAAAGTGAACAAAAAATGGAGAAATCGGACAACCTTGACGAACGACACCTGTAGTCGGAAAGCTATCCGATAGGACACCGTAGACCCTGACACGGCCTGTAGTGTTCGAGTATAGAGCACGAAGGATGTTCACCTTTCGTGGGAACACCTTTCCGCGCAAGTATTTCGAACAGAATCGATCGCTCGACTGAATCAAACGCACTCTTAAAATCTAGGAACACAGCTATTGTCGGTCGGCGGTATGCGTGGCGCTGCTCTAGCACATGTCGCAAAGTGAATATATGGTCTATACAGCCACGTCATGGGCAGAAACCAGCCTGCTCTTCCCTAATCCGAGATTCCCGTTTCGCAGTAAGACGACGAACGATAATCGACGCCAATACTTTTGTCACAACTGGCGTTAGGCTAATACCCCTGTGGTTAGAACAGTCTGTGCGACTGCCCTTCTTGTATATTGCCACTATAATCGATTCGCTCCAATTAGCCGGGACACTCCCTTCCAGATAGATTAGAATAAGGAGGTCAGTGCTTTCCAGAGGACCTCACCTCCATCCTTAAATAGTGCAGGTGGGAGGAAATCCGGGCCAGCGAAAAGAAAATGATTAAGTGCTGTGATCGCGTTTCGGACCTCGGCCTCCGACGGAAGCTCTAAACTAACCGTTCACGGCTCGTCCTGTATCACATGAGTAGGAAGAGGTCCGGGAGCATGGACCCAGCCGAACTGATGTTGAAAGTGTTCCGCCCAACGAGCCATACGGCGCTCCTTATTATCAGTGCACCCGCGCGGTCTCTGATCGTCTCAATGACGCCTGGCTCTCTTGGACCAGTGGTGCTGATGTGCTGGAAGAGCTTGCGGTAATTGCCTACTGCTCCTGCCTCCTCCATTTCTTGAGCCCGACTGGTGCACCAGGATTCCTTGTCAGCACGTAGGCTCCGCTTTAGTTCAGCGCCTAATTGCCCGTCTGGTCACATCGTGTTCAGAGCCAGCCGGGAAATGTCTTCTAGATTCCAACAGGTTAACCAACCTCTCGGATATCCAGTGACTGGTGCGGTGACTATGGATAGCGCCACAAGCAGATGCTCCTGCGTAGCGCATGGCAGCCGAGATCCTATTCTACTGAAGCTCAGTGTCATTAGGACAAGACAGCGAAAGTTCGGTACGTAGTGCTTCTTGATAGGCTTGCCTGACCTACGGCTGAGACAATTTCTCCGCTGCCAATCGGATGGGAGACTTGGAGCGCTTCACGGTAAAGTTCATGGAGAAACGACAGCGTACCAAGGCATGATCAGAGTCGATGAAGGTATTCCAGTACGAGCGGCAATCCAGGAGTGAATCACACGACCTGTAACCTACGGCTATGTGGTCAATTTGGGTCCATCGCTGATCAGCTTCAAGAGGACACCAAGTGGCACTTCGGCGACCACTGTCTAAAAGCAGTGCTACTAAGAAACAACTGGTGCTCCACACACAGTTGCAGCAGACGCTCACCGTTGTCAGTCCGTTCGGAGTTAAGCCCACAATTACCATCCAGCTGAGCTTCTGAAGAGCTCAGACGCTCTACGTGTGCGTTCATATCCCCTGCAAGTGCTATAATATATGAACTAGTAGCACTGCGTAGTAGCGCGTTCAGTTCGTGATAGAATGTGTCCTTGACAGTATTTGAACTGCAATCGGTGGGGGCATAAGCAGAAATCACAAACAGACAGCTTTTTGCACTACTTCGTGAATCAACCTTAGCTGATGTCATCAAACGAGCTGCACATAAACGATTGTTCACCGGAATCCAATCAACCAACTAGGACTCAGGCTCTAAGCTTAGAATGATACCTAGGCCAGCTTGACCCGTGAGTGTTGCATCGGCGTCTCCGGATGCGTGCAACCAATAAGGAGAGGATAAGCCGGGTGCAGTTAACTCAATAAGCCCATTAGGGTCATTGATCCTAGTTTCGGACACAACACATCAATACCCGACCATCCGCGATTGGTATCCGTCATGAATTCAACACCAGAGCATTTCTGACATATCAGGCTTGTCACAACCGGGTTCGAAAAGGTAGGAGTTGGGGAGGTTCTTTGAGTATGGGATTACTCCGCCTCCCGACCTCCTATCAAAGCGACCGCATCGAAGCAGCCGGTATCCTGAAACATGAACCTCCGTAGAGGTATATCAGATGACAGCCAGGTTTCGGTGAACGTCACTAGGTTCGGTTGGTGTTCAAAGATAAGGAATGGAATCTCATCTAGCTTGGTTCTGAGACTGCATGTTCGTGAATATTACCCATAATCGGTTCTCTATGTTCAAGATTCCAGGTAACTCAAGCTTCAAGTGCAATCAAATATGACAAGTGTTATTTTACGATTTTCATATTATACTGACCATTTAACGATCTTATACGTAGAGAAACATGGTACTTTAAAGTCCCTATTAGAGCACGACGCTGACCTGCCTTTCCATGAAATTTTGGTAAGGAGGTAACATGACAGTTCGCGGTTTTGATTCATGCAGGGACGTCGCATATCACTGGGCTGTAATTGTGATGAAGTGTAACTTCAACCGGCTTACCATATTTCTGTCGGAGCGACCGGAGAGCGACCTACCGACTAGGGATTAGAGTATGGTCCGTGACGGTTGCCTGGTACAGTCAATGTAAACATGCATACGCTCTTTTAGACGTTGCATAGTTATCGAAACGGTAAGTGCAAGTTAAAGGTAATGTCAACTTAGCTCATTAATAAGGTATGAAAACTGTTAGTGGCTTATTTTTATGAGCTAATTAACTTGTACATTTTGGCGCGTTTCGTGCATCTCGACATGCATGGTGACGGACCGAGATTCTAATCAATCGGTTATGGGTATACTACGGTGGTATGATACGCCCGGCTAAAGGTTGGTTAGATTGACGGCAAAAAGTGTATAAAAGGAAGATGTACATGGCGAATACGTCTGCGTAATGATATAAATGGATGGTAAATATATCTGCTCTGTGGTTGTTCAAGTGGATAACACTGGACAATAAATGGCATTCGCACCACGTTAGAAACGGCCATTATGGCGGGTGATATGGATAGGTTTTATCGTTTGTTGAGTTCTTTTTCTGAAATGTGCTGACATGGATGAGCATGTAAAGAAATTTTAAGTGGCGGCTGCGATGTAATCCTACAAACGGCAAGTGCAGACTATTCTTGCCCACAAAATTGACTGGCAAATAACTTTGTTAAGTGCAGGGTGAAAATTTAATGCTTCCAGCAGTTTTAGGATCGCTGTCGTCATGACGAGCGTTTTTTGACCTACCATCAAACGCCTCCGTTGTCCAGGCGGTTAGCCAGGTGGAAAATCATCGTTAGAAGCCTGCTTTTAAGGTTTTCCTGTAAACAATGTAGGGCATTAAACGAGGGCTGAGAGAAATGTGGTTGGCCATGTTTCCTCATTACATGTGCATATTCATTTCAGCCTTGAACAATGTCAAAAATGCGTATGCAAACTCATGAACATGCAGCGACCTTATTGCTATTCTTTCTTTTCCTAGTATAGACGCAAGTATCGATTATCGTCGATGTGCCTGGAGCTATTCTCGCTTATTGGAACACGAAACGGGACGCTGGTTGGGCTAAAGAGTATTGTGTCCCTGGATCCCCATTCCTGAAGCTTTGAGACTTCTAAATCCTTGGATGGTTACTCGTCTTTTATCACTGGACTTTGACCAGGTACTCGCCGCTTGCTCGCCATTAATCATTTACAAAAGGCCCATTTACTTTGACTTCTTCTTAGTTGATCGTTTCGGTGAAACTTGCCTGCGTGCCCTCGGTCTCTTGGTTGTTGTGCCTCTGCTGTTTCGCAAAGAACCTGTCGTCATTTATTTGCATTTCACTTGGAATTTGTTTCGCCCGTTACGATTTGGTGAGTCCACTTCAATACATACGCAGACATTTGGTATTACCGATTGGTCCTTTCGTCGATTGTATACCTGGTCACGTTAAATGGTTCACAACTGTTGCTTATCTCTTATGTAGTTGATTTTCTAACTTCGGTCGAGAAGGTTTTAAGTGCAGTCCTAACTCTTCGCGTCATTCCGACTACTTGTTTGTCATATATGGAAAAGCTGAGTACCTCAAAGCGGTTACAGGCTTGACCGGGGGCCTGCAATACGGTATTTGTTGCCGTAGGTTCCCAATGGAGTGTACCAGTTTGCACCTGATGCAGTATGCACTTATGGCTAGTAGCGAGAGCATACCGCACAGATGTGTTGCTTGTTGTGTGCTTAGCACTGAGGCTTTTAGTCAGTAACTAGCAGTCTGACGTCCCCGGAAAGTCTGCTGTTAGCTGTGTTCGCCAGACAGGAAAATTGGTTGCTTTGTACATTTGCTGGACTGCTTAGGTCTCCGTGAGGAGGCAGTAGAGGATACAATTTCCAGACCCGGCGTTTGTTGGTTTGCGGTGTACTCTCAGCACTTAATTTGGTAGCAACGCTGTTGGCAACGAACCCTCATACCGCGTCTGATTCGTCTGTTAGCCAGGGAGACAATCGAGCTTCGGCTCTTGTCAAAGTAAAGGGGAAGAAATTTAAAATTTGGCATAACCCAAGGCGGATGTACAAACTCCGTTGGGTGCCGTAGCTCCATTCCAGTAATTTTTCCTGCAGTTGTGTCACCCAACATTGATTCGTTGAAGACGTTGGAATCTAAAAATGGACGCTAACGCGAACCCGCCAACGTTTGCTACGTAATCCGCCTTGTTCAATTTCATATACTAATTGCAGCGCTTTATCAGTATCGTCACAAAGTCATAATGCTCTGCTAAAAGAGCATATGCTAGATGCTCTCCAGTTTATTACGATATGCGTTAACCAACTTTACTGCTGGGCGTTTTCGGCGTCGCTGCGAAAACTCGCAAGACCGCGTAACTTGTCTATTGAGAAAGTTGTTGCTTGTTGCTCTGTCATCACCAAGCTTTTCTACTTTTTGCCTGTAAGCTCAAAGACACTGGCGTTAGGTTTAACTTAGATCTCGTTTTAAATGTGACGTTGAAGTTGCGGGTTGCTCTGCATATTTGAAGCCCGTCGTGAAGCCGGGATGAAGACCGCTTAGTTGGTTTTCGGGCGGTGCGCCGGCGGGGCACTTCCTCCCTGCCAGCACCGATTGAGATGACGCACGATCCCGGGCTCACGATACCGTATACTTAAATAAGCAAATAAATATTTTATTCTCGACTATGCGAGGCACGCCAGTTGAGGCATGATCATTTATGTACAGCTGTACAGACATTGTATAGGAAATGTAATGACAGTAGAAAATTGTTCATATGTCCATGCTTGGAAATGTGCAATAGGGAACATTCAAAACAACGATTTGGTTGTAGTGGGATCGGGATCCATTTGTTTGGACATAATCGCTCTGCCATATATCGCAGTCATACCTCGACTTATAATAGATTGAGAATACTGAGTGATCCATTGGAAGATAATTGATGAGCAAGCTATCCAGTATGATGATTCTAATTGAGCTGCCAGTGTGAAGTTATGGGCTGTGACTTTATTCGGTGGCGGGTCACATTCGTCACGTTGCAGTATTGTTACACGGACGTTTGTGGCTTTTTATAGGGAGAAAGCTTGACAGGCGAAATCCCACCACATCCTGGAACACTGCCGCCAATCCATTGAATGGCAAGTTGTAACTGGCTGTTTCTTGTGGTAAGTTTGTTTGTTCCGTTATTCGCAGTCAAATTGCGTCCCATTTTTCTGCTGGCTGATGCGTTAGGCGAGTGGCCATTGCGTGCCTGGGTCCAGTCCTGTGCCGGGTCGATAGGTCGGGAATTAAACATTCTTTCTGGATATGATATGTTGATCAACTGCAGAACCACGTGAAGTCACTGAAGGATATACATTGCAATACGTTGAAGTCTTGAAGGATAGGATGTTTTGAAGAAGTAAGCGCAGATCCCCGGGGTATGTAGTGAAGTTGCTTAGAAATAAAGAAAAACCACGGCCGTTTGAGCGGTCAAAGCGGCTTGAAGAGTTCAGAACGACCGATTTCTCAGGCTTTGTATTGGCAGGAGCATTTGCCTTCCGAAGTCGAAATAAATAAATAAATATTAAATATTTCATTCTCGACTGTGCGAGGCACGCTCATGGAGGCATGATCAGAAATGTACAGCGGTACAAACATTTTAATGCAATTGTAACAGTAACGTAGAAAATTTTTCATATATCCATTACTGGAACTGTACAATGTTGAAAATGCGAAACAATAAGTTGGCTGTCATGAGCTACGGGACCTCAGCTAATAAGAGCTTGAGTATCCTGAATGATCCAGGCAAGCGATTTGTGGAACAGTTTGTGTTAGGCAAATCAAACCCAATGGTTCCAGCCTCGGAAGAAGTGCAAGATATCGAATGATTTGTCCGGTTAGTAAGTAGTGAAAGGGTTGATAATCTTCCGTTCATGTCCAGGTAAAGGAACTGTGCCATGTATTGTTGTCGCAATGGTGGACAATTCCTTTGGTGCGTGTCGCCGTACCTGTGACAAACTCGGGGGAAAAAAGGAAACGAACAGAGACAGCCACACAGACAGAATAAAGGAATGCATCAGGAATGCATACGGTTAATTGCGGCGACGCCTGAACTATTGTACCCCTATACATGTAATTGTTATTTAAATACCGCATATACACGTGTATCATAAGTGGCGAAATACGACGAGAATCGAGCAGAACACGGATCAGTAAATAATGCAAGATTGAAGATGAAGCAGGGGTGTTTGGGAGGTCCTGAAATAGACACCTGTTCAATCGGTGGGAACCAGAGAGAGGAGAACGAGGTGTGTTGATAATGGGAAGGAATATCACCCAGAAGAATCGGCAGAGGCGTATTTTCTTAATCGTAAATTGGTAGGAATGCAAGAAGTCAGGGGACAAACACATGTAAGTCAACGTCGAAGGAAGAAGGAGTGCAACGGAAAGCACACAAAGGTAAGCAGAGAGTCGGTAAAAGAGGTTCTGTAGAGGGGAAGTGAAAAAGCTGCCCACGTTCATCTGGTGATGGTTCATCTTTGTTAGCAACAATAATTATGAATAATGCCCAGTGAGGTATATTAGGGTAAATGTGTCGGGGCGATGCGCCGGAACAGGTAGATAGTATGGCGAGCAAAGCACGAAGGATGAGGGGCAGAGAATTTTGGGACTACAGAGCCTAAACCGTTTATGTCACGGATTTCTGGAAGCAAGCAGAAAGGAGACTGGACAGACGAGAATAGATTAGAGCCAAACCAGAAATTTGCCGTGCAATTGAAAACGGAATGTAAACAGGGCGCGAAAAGGAAAGAATGAAGTCTGAAAAGAGAAGTAACTATTGTGGAGAAGTGGAAAAGCGTACAATGGTCTCGAGGTGTTGTGAACAGGCCATTCGATCTGTCGATGACTCGTTGATAAGGTCACAGCAGTCAGAGAGGAGACCATTGGGACGGGCCTAAAATGTCGGCTCATAGAGAGAAGGCAATATTATTATTGCCAGAATGTTAACAGTC